CCATTAAAAACAGATATATAAAACGATTTCGCGGGCCGGATATAATTGTATGGCGGGCCGGATGTGGCCCGCGGGCCTTGAGTTTGACACATGTGATTTACAGTTTACCTTGCTGTGTGATCATGCCATTACCTTTTTCTTGTGAAGATGACTACACCGAGAGATATTTTGGTCATCTGCAGTAGGCTTTTTCCTGATAGTTCTTCACCGTTGTTACCATCGTTGGTGTTGCACTGATGCTAGCAATGGCATGTCTGATCACCTGCATTAAAGTCACCATGTCATCTGTCAGCTCAGAAATGGTCTGAGCTGCTATTGTGTGCTGCTTTGCAATAAAAGCTAGTTCTCCCACTGTTGCTAACTCCAGGAAAGTTGAACATATGGTGACAATGGTGGGAAATTTTAAGAAAATATGTCCACTGTAGACAGAAAGTTTGTTGCGACGGGTAGTGTATGTTACAAAGACTAGCTATAACAGGGTCAAACTGATATACTACAAACAACTATACTGATATTTTGCAATTTGATGTCAGAGATTTCATTTATAGCCTGATATATAGAAGAACTGTATTTTATTGTTTAAAACTTGCCCATTTCTTTGTGCATTTTGTAGTTTTATAATCCAATTGGCATTGTTCATTGCTTTTGAGGTGGAGTAGCTTAACAAATAATACATAAATGTAAAAATAATTAAAGTATAACCCAAAGTCTAATAAAAATAAAATTGAGATACAGTACAACTTCAGTTCGTATGCTTTTATACACTTCCTTCCCATATGTGGGAGATAGACTAGATGACCTAATAATTTTTTTTCAATCTCTACATTCCATTATTATTATTATTATTAATTTTGTTGCTGTAGTCCCATTATTCTAGATGTGGTACAAACACAAATTCAGTCCTTACCCTGAAAAGCTTACAGTCTATGATTTATGCTAAAAGAAATGGAAGACTTTACAATCTTAGCTGAAAACAAAGGTTCAGCAATATAACTTTATTAGATTTATAAAATAGGTGCTTTATAAAGTTAAATAAATAAAAGTTTTGCCTTTAAAACATTTACTGAGTCAGTATTCCTGATACCATAAAATAATGTGCTTTACAAACTTGCTGAAAATACTTATCAGGGATAGTGTTTGCGACTGAGTGGTCCTGATGATTTCAATGTACTTAAGACCTAATTGGTATTAAGAGTTTGCAGACCTGGGCCATTAGCACATCGAAAGAGAATCCCCTAATAAAAAATGTTCCAGTTAAACTAGCGAATGGTGAACAATGCTTGGTCAGAGGACTTCTAAGTACAAGGAAGCAAATAGAGTATTAACAGAGATGTAGGGAGAGCAGAAACAATAGCATAATGTAATAAAGAGAGATTTAAAACTGAACTCTGTTTTTCTGACACACTGATATAGCACTTTTTGTAATCAAGATATTTCAATGCTTTAAATATTAGAACTGCAACAGCTAAGTGGAGCAGTCTTCATGTACTCAGCAATAGCTCATGCAAGCAAGGAACATTAGAACCTTTCTTATTGTGAGATGGAAAGTTGGCCAGGACATTAGTCTTATCTCCTACTCAAGTTTCATATGATCCATGATTTCTACTTGGATACCAACTAAGATAGGCAAAAGGAACAATGCCTTAATATCTTCTCTGAAAGCTGTCATGTCAACAAGCAGTTCTACGCCCTGTTTCAGTACTATACTAAAATGTTAGCAATGAGAATGAGCCTAAATTCTAGACCATCCTGAAAGAATGGGAAGTAGACAGTAGCAAACAGCAGTTTTATCCATCAGAAGAATAGTTCCAAGAGTTCAGACACTAGAGGATGTAGCCTCTTCTTTCCTCTCCAAACTCCAGACAGAATTGAATGGGAGGGCCATAGAGGAACAGTTGTAGTTCCCTGATTCAGAGCTGCCTGGCATAAGTGGACTTCACAGAATCAGCCCTGACATGCTGGATTAGGTATAGTGGAGTTCTAATCCACCATGCCTCATCCCCTAGTACCAGTCTTGTCAACACTTTCCCTCTGACACAATTTTTAAGCCAGCTAGGGGGATGGCGAGCAAAGTTCCCATTCCCAACAGGTGCCAAACAAGATAGAGCCCAATTGCAGTAGGTACTATATAGACACATAGTAAGAGACAGTCCCTGATCTGATTACAATCTGAATAATACAGATGAATGCAACAAATTATGTTCTCAGTTACATCCACAGTAATTATAATCTAAGTAGTTAAAATGTGTGGCTGAATGATTTGTGTGTTGCTCCATCCTCCATTGTGTTCTTCCTTCAAGACAAAATTACAAAAAATGACTGGGATGGTACTTTTCACATGAAATTTTGACTGCTCAAAATTTTGAATGCACACTGTGAGTTAGAAGTGAATTTCCCAAGGCAATCTGGAAAAAATTTGGACTCCTGAAAAGGTGCTTTTTGTGAAACTGTGAGAACATGAAAACAATGTAAAATGATCTGACAAAAAATGTGCATCTACTTTAATAAAGCATTTTTCCCAGTTTTGCATAGATCCTTACTACATTTTTTTACAGAAGGAAAAACTCAGGTTCAGGAAGCATGTGTGACTCACCTAAGGTCAATAAGTAGCATAGCCAGGAATAGAGCCTAGGAGTTAAGATTCATAGTCCCTGATCTAATCACTAGACATACTGTCTGTTGATAGTGATGCCTAATATCATCTTTACTATTTCATACTATAGATCATTTGAAATTTATTACTGATAATATATATTAAAACAATAGATGAATATTCCAACGATATCACAATCAAGCTGCATACACTCTAAGGAAAAAGAGTAGGGGACCAAATAGCTGCACTGTAGTAGCTTTGTACCACTGTTTTGAAGCTCCCATAGCTGACCAGTAGTGGTGGAAGGCCCCTAGTGTCCTTGACCTTGGTGGTGGAAAGGTAGGGCATAAGATACCCACAGGTCCTGTTCTGCTAGGTGCCCTGTAGCTGGTGAATACAGTGGCTAAAGTGAGTGGCATTGGCAAGTATGAGGGCATAGCCAGGCATCTGGAGATAACGTTGCTCTAGCGTATTCTCAGCATCTTCTGAGTAGCCACCTTACAGAACCTCAGCCATAAATTAAAGCTGCCCTTCTCATGACAGAAACCCCAGCGGAGGCATCAATGATGAGAACACCTGTCCTTCCACAGATGTGTGTTCCCTTGTCAGGGTTTCACAAGCGTATGCAATTTGCACCACCCTGCAGTAGCAGGAACAGGGGTAAAACAAACCTGTGAATGTTTTGTTTTAAAAAATTCTGTCTGAAGCATGCAAAGAGTAGAAAACTACAGTTTTCGAGTTGCAGTGCCAAACTTTTCCCCTTCACAGGATGAGACACTTAAGTTGTGGTTCTTCAGGGGTCTGAAAAAAATAGATCAATGTGGTAAGAAGCCTATAAATTTTTTAAAGGGTTATTGTATTTTTTTGCAACTTAGAGATGTCACAGGACTTTGACTGCATTTTTAGCTGGTAGTGAACTTATTTGCTTCCCATCATAAAATCTCACATGATGATCTTATGTCTAAACTGCATTAAAATTTGTTTGAATGCTTCATTTCTTCTTTAGAAAATTATTTCAGTTTTAGCTGAGTATGAATTAAAGAGTGGGAAATATCATTCTTTGTAGTGGTGAAATTGCCTTCTTTTCATGTACATTCCAAGTATTTTCTGTACTGCATTTTTGTGTACTTCATATTTAATTGTGAATAACATTTAATTACATTTTAGAGATATAAACATATAAAAACAAAAACAGTACTCCATATCAAGCCAAGGTAAAAGTATTTCTATATCACAACACTAAAATCCTTATTATTGCATGGAATAGCAATATCCACATAGCGCAGTGGGGAGTCTGTGTTGCACAGAGCAATGGTTGGGATGTTAACGTAAGATGCCTCAGTCAATGGCTGATGATCACCCCGGGGATCTGTAACCACCAAAAGGCGCGGCTCACGGAAGGCAGCCTGGATCTGATTTGTGAAGGTACCAGGGGTGAAACGTCCAGCAATTGGTGTAGAGCCGGTGGCAGCAGCAAACTTCAGAACAGCACGCTGTCCAGTATTTCTGGAAGAGATGACGCTCACATCAGCTGGGTTTTCAATGGCAGCGATGGCACGGGCTGCTAATAGGAGCTTCTCCCAAGTCCTCTTCAGATTGATGATGTAAATACCATCACTTTTCCTTTTGTAGATGTACTGTTCCATCTGAAAGTCTAGATTGGTGCCTCCCAAGTGGGTTCCTGCAGCGAGGAATTTGAGGACATCCTCCTCCTTCATCTGCAGGACATCGAGACCTCCGGACATTGTGAAAGTTCCCCTTTTAAAGTAACGGCAGGGAACCCGGTGACAACGCCGTATGGAGACCACGTTAGGCTCAAAGAGAGAAAAATCCTTGTATGAATGGAAACACCTTTATCAATAGTGAGTTTTAGAAACTGGAATGACAAAAAATTTATCTTAATAATAATAAAAAACGATGGGTTTTATTCCTGTAGATTCTATTCATGAGAGTTCTGCAGTTGTCTTCAGTGGGAGTTGGATCAGGCCAATAGGGTATATCTTCACTGCACAGTTAATCTGGGTGATTGGCAGTCAGGTCTGAGCACCCAGATTAGCGTAGCCCAGATGTAAGAATCCCCACAGCAAAGCCGTTCCTGTGTCCTCACTGTTTCTGCACTTGTCCATGTATGTCTGGGGACATATCCCATGATTCTTTCTGCTGATGCACTCCAGGATTCTTTCCCTGTCAATTTTCTGTCCTTTGCAGGAAATTGTGGAAAAGGCATTGGATGGTCCTCACTGCAAAGTGGACAGGTTCCAGCCAGAGTTCTAGCCCCAGCCAGGTAAGCTAGCCCAGACTTACAGCACCTCCAGCCCTGGGTCAGGGTTTTCTGTGTGAATGGAAGGGGGATTTGGGCTAAAACATGGGTAAGAGCCCAGGTTAACTTGCAATGAAGCCATATCCTGTGAGTGAAATTTACCCCTGTACATAGGCCTCCTACTTGTCCTCTGAATTTCATCCATGTAGAAAAATACTCCCATTCTTTTCAATAGGCTGTGGATCTAGTCCTTAAAGAATAAGAAGGGAGAAATGACAGGGGAAGGAGAATACTGATGACAATACTACTGTCTAAGATTAAGTTTTGATCATCTAACTTCTTCCCTGGCTGGAAGAAGGAAGGAGGTGTGGTCAGCATGTTCAGCAATAGTATAGGCCACAATGCTATAGGCCACAATACAGCAAAGCACTAAGCATGTGAATAATTCCATCTGTGTTCAGTAAAGCACTTAAATATGTGCTTAACAACCACTGCTCACCATGAAATGCAACCAAGAAAAATGTTACAATACAGACAAGAAGTAGACAACACAAACAGTTTTGGCTATGTAGCTTTCTCCGAGGCATAAAGCACGGGTATTAGTAAACAAAATTAGCTTTCTTGATATTCAATCTTCAAAGCTGTAGAAACTGAAACTAAGATTGAGAGTTTGCTGTGTATGCTATGGAACACAGTTAACAAACATTAGCCAATAGTATTATTACAAAGTGACATCACACTTGTCGCCTGAGTCTCCTTACTCTCTTGATTTACGGTATGTAAGAAAAACAAGTATCCTAACTGGTAATAGATTTTCCACGACTGAAAATATAGTGAAATTGCTGCCATCCAATTATTTTCAATATATAAAGAATGATAATAAAAAGAACTTTAAAAACCAACCAAAAGCTTAACCATGCAAAACTAAAAATGAATCAGACATTCACAATACTTCGAATCCAAAATTTACCAAGCTATCTATAAAAACCACAGTTTGTGGGAATGAGCATAAAATGGGGCTACCTGCAGTCTGTGGGCCAGATTTCCTTTCATTTTTGTGTTTATTTTTGGTACAAGTGGGGATGCAAACCCTTTCTGTTGTGGGTATTTTACCATATTTAACGTTATTTTTACTATGCAGCATGTAAGAATATGATTTAGAATATCTAATTTTTAAAAGGCCTCAACGATATGGCTGAGTCAACAATAGAAAATACTGCTGTGTTTCACAACTAGTATCAAATATGGCTGTTTCTACCCACTCAGACAGTGGTGAAAACAGTTTTCCAGTTGATGTAGACAGGATAAACTGAGTTCAACTCCTGTTTTGACAAAACATTTCTATCAGGGGTTAACCATGATTTCTTACAATGGATGTTGAACTTGATTGACCCTTTTCGCAGTACAATTACAGTACTGTCAACATTAATTGAAGGGGATTAGGGTGTGGCTAATGGGGAGCCGTGTTTGACACCCATTGCCAAATATGGTTAGATTTTGTAGTGCAGACACAGCCTTGAAATGTATCTTCCTTTCTTTTCTCATCATCATACCAAAATAAAAAAGGAACTTCTAAGATCTTGTTAAGATTGGGAGCAACACTATTCTAGCCTCAACCATATGTAAATACAATTATTGCTAGGAGGGTATTAGCACAATTTCCCTGAAAAAAAAAATTCCACCAGAAATTTTGTTCTGAGAACTGTCCTAGCCCAACTATGACATAGGCTACCTCCTTCTAAGTACTCCGTAGCATGATTTTATGAAATATTCTTACACAGTTAATCATTAAAATAGCTTTGGAAACACTGTTCAAAGAAATCACCTAGAATCCTTCAGGAACATGTGTGCTAACGCTGACATTATATTCTTAAAATTGACACTAAAAATACCATCAAAAGCAGGGCCGGATTTCCAATTAGGCACAGTAGGCACGTGCGTAGGGGCACTGGCGTTCTAGGGGCGCCTAAAAGTTAAAAGTCGGTTAAAAGTTAAAAAGTTAATACATATGCAGTTAAAAGTGACTTTCCCTAGGAAAGAGATGCTCCCTTCATCCTGCTACATCCCTTCATCCTGCCTTACAGTGGGTGGCCAGGGTCCTGATATGGGTTGGTGGCTGCCCAGCGTGTGGGGCTGGAGCAGGGTAAGCATCCGAGTCAGCCCGCCTGGGGGCACTGTGAGTCGCAGCTGGGTGGAGTAGTTGCTGAAGGTGCTAGGAGCGTCCCAGCCCCTTCCCAATCTCGGCCGCCCCACTGCCTCTGCCCCATGCTGGGGAGGTAGAGGGAGGGACGTAGCCAATGCCCCATTCACTTGCAGAGGCAGAACCGGAGCGCAGCTGCCGTGCCGGGCTGCAGGAGGGACGGAAGACACCCATGGACCGCTTGCCGTGGGGAGAGGTACAGTCTCCCCCTTGCGCCTTGCCTGAGGCAGGTAGGTTGCACTCGGGCTGGGAGCACCGTATGTGGCAGAGGGTCTTGTGCCTTCCTGGA